AAAAAAAAAGACAAAGAAAGTTGTAAAGAGTGAGTAAAAGAGAGTTAAAATATTTTAAAGAGTAACTTTGTCAATTTTGATGCTACTGAGATGAAATACAGCTTGTTATGATGATGAAAGTGTGTAAAGCAACTTTTGATAGACGTAGTGCAGAGGTTTAGAATCAGATTAAAGAGTAAATGGCAAAAGTTTAATTTTTTTTGCTTAAAAAATAAATTCGTCAATTTTAATGCTACAGAGATGAAATATAACTTGTTATGACGAGGAAAGTGTGTAGAACAACTTTTAATAGGCGTAGTGCAGAGGTTTAGAATCAGGTTAAAGAGTAAATGATAAATATTTGAATTTTTTGCTTAAAAAAATGTTTTAGGACTTTACGAATATAAGAGCTATAGACATGAAATTTAAGTATTATGTGTATTTTGTATTTTGGACAAGTTTACTTAGAAAGTAAAGTTAGGTTAGCATAATAAAATTTTGTGTAAACGGACGTTTTTTGTTGGACGAATTTAAGTAAATTTAGTGTTAGGGATTTGCAGGAAGAGTTACCCCTTCCAAAAAAAAAAATTTTAAAATATGATAATAATATTTTTAACATATGTTTAACATATATTTATCATATTATAACATTTAGCAATATTGTAGCAATATTGTAAACATATTTAGCAAAAATCGAGGTTTCTGCAAAGTTATTTTAGCTATTGTGCTTCAATAAATTGATTAGATTAGAAAATGAAATGTCAATTGCTGTGTCAATAAGAAAGATAAATCATGTAGATACTGTGTTGGTAGACCGCCTCAAAATCTAATACTAATGGGCGAACTCTGAATCAGAAGATATGGATAGAATATTTTTCTCACGTTATTATTTCTACACAGTCATATGTATGCATGTATGTACGTAAAGTACATGTGTAGCAATTCATTAGCAATTAGCAATTACATCATAATAATATAACAGCATAATTATATCATTTGTAAAAGTGCCAACACTTTCTAAAATAAATAAATGAAAATCTTTATTTCTACCAAAAAAGTTGAACGGAACTATCTCTTTCATATTTTCATGTATTTTTTATTAAAAGTTGGCTAAAATTCAACTCCCAATTTTACTTTAAATGGCAAGCCCATTGATTGTTATAATGAAGTCATTATAATGATATCAGAACATCACTCCATCAAAGTAAACAATTGGCTTATATGTGCCGCACAGCAACACATATAAGCCAATCATTTACTAAGGGATAACGAATTTTTGTGATATTTTCATTGTTTAAATAAGTTGTTGAAGGTGGAGTTAATTAATACATGATTACATGCTACATAAATTACATGTACGTACCATAGATACACAAAGTGACATGTTTTGTGATTTAGTGTTTTAGTGTTTTAGTATTCTAGTGTTTCTGTTTTGGTGTTTAGCGTTCTTGTGTTTGTGTTTATGTTTTAGTGTTAGTGTTCTAGTGTTCTAGTGTTTTAGTGTTCTAGTGTTTTAGCATTTTAGTGTATAGTGTTCTAGTGTTCTAATATATAAAATATGTTAAAGCTGCTTTTTTGATGCATTTATAGGTATTATTTTATAAGTACATCAAGAACGTAAGTTATGCACTATATAGATCTACCATATTAGAACACTAGAACGCTAAAACACTAGAACGCTAAAACACTAGAACTCTAAAACACTATAACACTATAACACTAAACACTAGAACACTAAGATACAAGAACACTAGAACACTAAAACACTAAAACACAAACACAAATCGGGTTTATTACCATATTAGGAATATGTTAATGCTACCTTTTTGATGCATTAATAGTTATTATTTTATATGTACATCAAAAAAATAACTTATGCACTATGTAGATCTACCAAATTACAACACTAGAACACTAAAACACTAAATCACAAAACATGTCACTTTGTGTACCTATGGTACACCGTAATAAATCACATTCTTGATATAAATATTCCCACCTAGATCACAATTTTCGGATCTGATCGAATGAAAATGTTATAGCGTACAACCCAGAAATAAATGATAAAAAAAAAATGAAACCAAACTTATCTGTGAATTAATCGACTGTAAAAATAACCTTGCCTGTAATTAAATTCTCTGCGAACTAAGTTGTCTAGTAATTATTGGTGAGTTGATACTACTAAATAAAATATTAAATAAAGCTCAATAAAAATCGAAATAAATCGCAGTAAACAATTTGAATATGATAGCGATAAAGGATAGTTTTCCTGATTACATACTACGTTCTCAGAGTAATACGAATGCTAAATCTGGTATACCCATACACGAACGTTACACTAGCACAGCACATTGACATGTGAAATCATAGATTTTAATGCCCAATCAAATGCAAGATTTTGCGAACTCGCCATTCTAGATGGCAGGTAACCATACACTCCGTCATTTGCATGACTACGTTCCTGATAATACATTCCGTCATTTGCATGACTACGTTCCTGGTAAAACAGAAATTTTAGAAGAATTAAACCAGATCCGCCCGATTTTAAAAGATGAATTAGTTGAAATTAATATAGTGGATAAACTTACTAATGAGATACAACAAATTTTTGAAAAACTTAGTAAGGTAACTAAGACCTTTGAAGGTTATCTGGAAGCAATAAATTGCGAGATTCATATGCATAAGTTAGTAAATAGCTTAATTAATGAAAAGTTAAATATTCTAAGTCTTCAAGTATTGAAAACGTTGGCACAAAGTTGATAGATCATTTAGAACGTTTAAAATTACTCGCACATGAAGAAGCTTATTTGAAAAGAAAAGAATTTATATCATTTTTAACGAATTCTTCAAATAAAATAAAAATTTTATTTAAAAATGGTATAAATACAGAAGAAGAGATTAATAGACGTGCTAGAGTTCTTGGTTCATGTTTTCATCCAGATAGAACCAAAAATCCAAAATGTCCATATGTGCTTCATGAAATATTTAAAAGTCAAGGCGATGAGTTATTTAAACTTATCTCAGAGTTCAAAGAACATTTATTAAATAAGTTGAAAAAAACCTTAGAAATAGAAGACCATGAAAAATACGGAAATGAGCTTTGGAGAATTACTATTGACTATAATAACGCATCAAAAGGACAATGGGACAAACTAAAAGTATTAAAAAAAGATGATATCAAAGAGCTCTCTTCCGAATTATTGAAACAGAATAGTATGCATATGGGAGAATTGGCCTTTTATCAATATCGAGCAGCTTGCAAAATTGCGGATAAAGCTAAACTGCTAAAAAAACAGGTAAAGTTAAGAGGATATATGGCTTTATGTTTATATTTCACAAACAAATTTCTGGAAGCCCCGTTATATACTTTAGCGGCATTGCTTTTACAAATGAAGTCAAATAATGTTACACAACAAGAGATAAACGAGGCAAAAAAAATATTTGTTAAAGTTAATGGTGGAAGAGAAGAAAGAGAAAGGAATGAAGATGGTATGTCTTCCGACTCAAGTGAGAGTGACTTTAATAATTCAATGGCCCTAATAAGAGTAAATGATCAAGGGATCACTTTTAATGATAGAGAGATTATTCAGATTACATTAGCCTATACAGTTGCTAAATTATTTGTTAAGGCGGAACGTAGTTTGGTTCGTTTTCAAACATCATATAAGGAAATTTTGCGTGCAAAAAGGTGTACATTTTCGTATAAAAAAGGTCAGGAGATTTTCAAAAAGATAACAATTCGAGAAAATCTCAATAAAATCATGAAACAAGCGTTAAGTGCATACGATGATGAAAAATATCAAGAATTCATCAATGTGCTTTCTGAGGAATATGATGATGAGAATCATAAGCGCCTCTTAAACTGGTGCGATAAATTTGGTATTACAAGAATAGTTGACATGGTTTCAGGTCGGATGGTATTGCATATCTATTTATTGTGCTTGGGGAAGTTTTAGGTAGTGAAAAAGTAAAAGTCGAAGGTTTCACACGTACAGATTTGAAATTCGTTGCAAAAATATTTTTTCAACTGGCACTGAATTAAAACTTGTGAAGGAAGCAAAAAAACTTGATAAGCTCACCAGCGAATTGCGTAGTCAAGGAATCTATGAATTTTTTAAAGGTGCTTGCAGTAAACTTAAAGATTCTATGTTATCGAAAGAACGTACAAGATTAGCCCTAGAATACCTACAAGACTCTCTAAAATGCCCTTTTTTTCAAGACTTGAAGAGATACGTAATATTGCAAGAATTAATATTGCAATCCTTACTATAACAGAATTTTCTATGGACGCATATCAAGAGGCAATAGAAACTGTAGAAGAAGTTCGAAAATCTGTAAGAGAAAATTATCAATTTGTTGGAAAAGCTAAATCACGTTAGAAGCCTTGGAGGATTTCTTGTGGATAATTAGTGATGAGGTTCTATCTGATATCGATACACCTCTCTTTATCACATTTCCCGTTGAAACAAAGTCAGCTACAGCAGTGGACATTAATTATTTGAATAATCAACAGTCTTTCAATCAAGACAAATATTATCAAGCGATTTACTTTGAACGTTTGGCTGAAAAAGAAGCTAAAATTAACAAGTTAAAGAGTTTAAGTCATTGGCAATCTGCTCAAGAAAACTATAACATTGCACGTGAAATAAACCCTGATAATCTGATTTATTCCTTTGGATACGCAAGATGTTTACTAAAATTATCCAAATACACTCAAGTTATCAAACTTTCTGATACATGTCCAGCATTAAATTCTTCATCAAAATATTTGAATTTATGTAGTGTAGCTTATTTTAAGCAAAAAAAGCATGCAGATGCTATGATATGCAATTCTGAGGCACTAAATTTGGATCCGGGAAATCATTCGGCTGGTAAACATAGAGAACTTGTCAAAAAATTGAATATAAATAATATAGGTGAACACCACATAAACCGCTATAAAAATAAATTAATATACGAAACAGATTATTTGAAAAATTCTCACAGTAATGAGAGTCCTGTCTACAATATTCTATCAATTGATGGTGGAGGAATACGTGGTGTATTGCCTGCTTTGTGGCTTAGCGAGACCGTACTCATAGACCTATTTGTCACCTATTCAATATGATAGCTGGAACATCAACTGGTGGGATCATTGCTGCTGGATTGTCGGCACCAAAGTTCGAATCTATCTACATAAATGATGAAATTGAATATAGATATTTAAATTCAACCCAATATTTTCAGCTTCGGAATTATTGAACATTTACAAGAAAAATTATTTACCAAACCAGCATCATGGCTAGAGATGGGTAAAATGCGCATGATACCGCATGATAAAAATTTTTTTTTAAAATTTTTATCTTTATTACTGATAATATATCTAAATAAAGATACTACATATTTATCCTTAATCAGATT